AATTAACCAAAAAAAGAAGGTAAAAATAAATTTATGTGCTCCAATATAACAGTCCATATGTTGAAAAAAAAAACTCAAAATGGAAATCGTACAGAGACGAAATTGAGTGAATCCATCCTCATATTTGGTACAATCTCAATCATTTCATCTTCTGCAAGAAACTCCAACTGCAACATTGAAATTTCACAAGAACTTCTAAATTAATAAATCAAATATACAACCGAACAAACGTACATTTACACAATTAACTCGATAAATATCAACTAACAGGAGGTGAATCTGTGTAATAGGGTAAAAGATGGTACCTCGGCTGCCGAAAATGCGGAGGCCTGGGAGTCAGATGAGGCGGCCATTTCTGCGATTTAAGAAGTGTTTAGGGTTGAAATACGTCTTCCTCGGTGATGGGCTGCAGTAAATTAAAAAGGAAAAGCAACCACAAGGTATGGGTTTTGAGAATTGAATATGATTCGAAAGGGTGAATTTCCGAGTGTAAAGTGTGAACCCTACTTTGCTCGAGGAAGGTGGCGGGAAATTTTATATATGCGCGCCTTTGCAGGGAAACCGAATTTTTTTTTTTCCTTTACAAGGAATTTGACAATTTTGGTAGTGATTAAAATCGAATTTTTAATAAATTTTGATAGAAATTAATAAAAAAATATGATTGAAAAGTTGTGTGTTTCATGAATTTGTGGTTAAAATTGATTGCTAATTTTAACTTAAAATTAAAATCAACTTCTTTTGAGATTAAAAATTTGCTTTTGAATATATTTAAATAATTTTTTAAAAGTCAGGGACAAGGCGACAGATGTCCCTATCCCCGGTCTGCTCGAGGCACGATGGAGCTCCCTCATTCTCGAGATCAACAACCGTGGCTGCTCTTGGCGACGAGGTTCCTTGAGGTGGTGGCTGGGGAGCGCGAGCATCTGTGGGTTTGCCCGACCCTGGGATCGTAACGTCGGCCCTAGATGACTCTCCCGGGCCGCTAGCAGGGTGATCGTACCTAGAATCCCGGGGTCTTTTCTTCCCTCTCTTTTGCCCCGGAGCCCGAGTTTGGGGAGCCTTGCTCTTGCTCCCAACAGCTTGGCGCAGGGCACTTGGGTCGAATGTCATTTCTGCACAAAATAACCACATGAGCCCAAGCTAAAAAGTCCTCAAATAAATTGAACAACACAAAAGAGCAAGTCCTACCCTCGAGGCCTTGCATCTCTGCCGATCAAGGATGTCGTCCTCGAGAATGTCATCTGTGTCATAAACAAGGGGCTCGAGATTCTCTAATCTAAGCCTATCCCTCTTCAGAGACTCAAAATATGCTTGTCCCTCACAAAAGCTCGACGTATCAGGAAACCCCCATCGAGGACTGAAAAGAAGAACATCATCCCGAGGAATAACATAAAACCACTTCTCCTTCCAACCTTTCAGGGAAGTAGGTAACCTCGGGACTTTAAAACCTCCCCGGGTTGATAGGTATGCAAAGAAAGTGAATTGGGGAAGTTGCTTAAGGTCGAACAGCATTCGACACAGGTCGAGATATGGAACTATTCCTAGATAGCTACAGGCGATAAAAAAATAAGTTAACATCCTCCACCTATTTGGCACCAGCTGACCCGGGCACATATTATACTCGACCAGTAGTGCGAGGAAGAAGGGATGTAAGGGCCACCTACAACCCCCCTTTAAGGAATCCCTGAACATGACAAACTCCCATTCCAGAGCAATTACCATCCTATCCCCAGGCTCAGGAGACCTAACATCACAACCGGGCATAACCTTATACTCCCGAGCACACGCCACTGCTAGATGCTCTTTAAACGTGCAGTCTTTGGTCGGGGTAGGTAAAAGGGATCGCGCTAACCTGAGCTCGAGGCTGAACATTCAGAGGTTCGGCCATAGGGATCATTGACCTAGGCTGACCTTCAGGTGTTGAACCCGAGGAAGAGAATGAGCTACTGCTATCGCTACTCGACATACTAACTTAAACAAGCTAAAGAAACAACTAAAGGTCTCGAGGACTTACCTTAATACTCGATCTCGAGGAGGGCCAAAGAAGTTACTGAGAGGCAAAAGGTGAAAAATGAAAGGGAAAAGAACTATTTATAGCCCTCTTGGAGGGGGAGACCAAAGGTCGCCTCCTCAGCCCTTAGATCCGGCCACGCGTCACCCATCCAGGGGTGAGAATTTTAACCGCCATTTTTTACCAGGGCTGACGTCATCATTACGTAACCCTAGCACGTGATCAAAAACTTAAGCGAACGGTTTAACATCGAGCACACAGCACCATTGCACCCATCCTCTAGCTTCGAGCATGGATGCACGGGGGCCAGTGATACGGTCATAATATATCACCTCGAGCACGACGAGTAGAAGTAGCTCAACTTCCTTGACCACCAGTTGAGAATCCTCGGGCATAAAACGTCCTCGAGACATCTCGAGGAAGGACCACCCCAGTTTGCCCTTATAATCACTCCGGAAGTCCTCGGGAATAAAGGCCCCGGGATATTTACTTAGATAAAACCCGCGTATTCCTAACCAAGTGTCGCCGATCCTCACTCCGGAAGATTCCTAACCCTACACGAACACCCCAACCTGAGAATCCTAGATCATGTAGGAATCCTAGATCATGTAGGAGTCTCGTCTTTGGTAACACTTTTAACAAGGTAAGTTTTATTTGGTTTTAGAGAAGGTTATTCTAAAAAAACAAAAACTCTGCCAACAAACTCTTAATACAGGGATTAAATATAGGGGTGGGCAAAACCCGACCGAACCACCCAACCTGAATCAACCCAATCGGATCGGGTCGATTTTTTTGTTGTTTTTACATGGGTTGGGTGGGTGGCTGTGTAGGCAAGTTGGGTTAGGTTATGAGTTAACACATAAAAACCGAATAAACCCGCCCAACCC